CTAGCTCCTCCAAGTGGAAGAAACCCTCCCTGTCCCCGGGGACCTTGTTGTCCAGCAGGGGGTCGGAGAGGCGGCGGAAGCAGTAGCTGAAGCCCGGTGAGACGCCGGCGCGGTTGTCCAGGTAGGCTGACTGCGAGGGCGCCTCCAGGTCGGCCAGGCGGTTCTCCAGGTCGATGTCCAAGCTCTCCAGTAAGAAGTTGCCCGAGCCCGTGGTGCCGTCGGTGTTTTGGGGCAGGTTGCTCTCTGCCTGCTGCTTCCACAGCTTATTGTGGCGCTGCTTGCTGCGGGAGAGGACACGGGTCAGGACCGTTGAACCGTAGGATGATCGGTTCCAGGAACATTCGTCCCTCTCCACGACCCAGAAATGAAAGGCTGGTGGCTGGGTCCAGCCCTGCGAGGCCCACTTGGGCAAAATCACCTTTAACATCAGGATTTTGTCCCTCCTGCCTGCCCTCTTGAGCCTCTTGGTCTCAGCAGACTGAGGGCAGTGCCCTGCAGCACACCCATGATGGGAGTGGTCCTCAGGAGGAGCCCCTCCTCGGGGCAGCAGGGCACAAAGCTCCCCCATTTGCAGAAACAACATCTCTGCATGTTTCAAAACTGAGCCAGAGGGGAAAGTTCTCCTCCTCTTCCCCCAGGAGAGCAGAGGCCAAGCAGAAACCCTGAGCAGATAGCACAGTGCCTGCAGTGACAGAGCCTGGAGGTTGGCACAGTCACCCAGCACTGTGAGCGACCTGCCTCCAACCCTGCCCGAGCTCAGTTCTGCCTCATAAACCATGGACAACGTTCCACTGAGCAGCACTGGCTGCTGAGGACTACAGCCACACTTCCCCAGAGCAGAGAACCCTCACTGAATTAAACCAGAGCAGGTCACCCTAGGAGACAGCTGATTTCCATCCAGGAAGGATGGAAAATGTTTAGGAAAAACCACAATGAGCCCAGGTTTCTGCTTCTGCCCTTCTGAAGGGGACCCCTCAGACCACAGCACCACACACGCTCTGCCAGGATCTCCGAGCACGACACGCACGCGCGTGTGAGACACCAGCAGACACTTTGTGAGGGGAGAACCACGAGAGGCTGCCTGCAATCAGCTCCTCTAGGCCTGATTCACCCTTCTAACCGTCCCCTCGCCTCACCTGGCATCCAAAATGCCCTCGTACTCCAGCAGCTGCCTCATGAAGCCGGCGTTGGGCCTGGCGATGCTGCGCCTCTGCTTGACGTAGCTGTAGGCCTTCTCCAGGGGCCAGCCAAACTCCTTCATGGCGTAGGCGATGACCGTGGAGGCCGAGCGGCTCACGCCCATCTTGCAGTGCACCAGGCACTTGGAGTGGTTCTTCCTGCAGGAGGGGAAAAAAAAAGGGGGAAGAGTTGTCTCACCTCTTGGATTCTGGCGCCTGCCGTTGCCCGCTGGAGGGGCAGCACTTTGTCCTCCTTGAGCACCCCAACAACAGGAGGTGAGAAGTGGTTTGGGTTAAGTGGTTGGGTTTTTCTGGCCATGAAAAGAATCCCTCGCTAGAAAGTCAGCAAGGTGGGAAAAGGCTTCTCAGGTTGAGTCCGACCCTCAACCCAACGCTACCACGGCCTCCAAAACATGCCTGGTGTGGTTTGAGGCTTGGAATGGGGGCGTGACCTTCCAGCAATTGGGAGGACCCCGGGTGGGGGTGAACCGTTGTATTCCCTCCCCTTCCCACACACACTCTGGTAAGAGGCAGGGAGTGGTGGCTGATTTCACTCCTGCCTTGGAGCTCGGAGAGGGAGGTTGTCCTTTCACTCCGTGGGACCCTGGAACCATTTCTGAGGGTTTTGTATGTTTTATTTTTTGTATTTTTTCCCCTAATCTTTGTATATATTATTTTCCTTACCTCCCTTTTTCATTTTCTGTTCCTGGTTAAACAACATACTTCATTTTTTTTTTCCAAAGTCTCTCTCTCTCAGGGGGGGAGAGGTGAGTACAGAGGTACGTT